TGCCAGAAGCCAGCAGATTCTCAAAATGGTTGAAGTTGATTCGTACAATAGCATGGATCTTGAGATTTTGCGAAAATTTGAGGTCATCAGATCTTCGGAGTAAGCAAAAAAGGGAAACAATTTATCATGATTTCAAAAGAAAAGATGTTCGAAAGAAGTTTGATGTAATTTTGAAGTTCTCTGAGTTGCAACCTGAAGAATTACGTAATGCAGAAAGGCTGTGGGTGAAAAACGTGCAAGCAAAATATTTCTCAGGAGAAATAACTTGCATACAGCAGAATAATTACCCTGGTATATCTTCGAAACTGCATGGGTTATCTCCATTTTTAGACAGATTTGGAATTCTGAGAATGAACAGCCGAATTCAGTATGCAGATATTCCCTTTGATTTGAAGTATCCTATCATCTTACCGACAGCGAAAGATGAATTGTCCGTCCAATTGCTCATTCTACACTTCCATGATGAATTGAAACACACAGGACATGAGACTCTGATAAATAATCTGAAGCAAAGATTTTGGATAATCAGAACTCGACAATCTGTAAAGATGGCAGTGAGAAGATGCCAGTTTTGCCGAATAAAGAAATCCAAGGTAGTTCAACCTGAGATGGCACCATTACCAATCTCACGCCTCAAGCCATATACAAGGCCATTCAGTTTTTGTGGCTTAGATTATTTCGGTCCATTGTTGGTGAAAGTGAAGAGAAGTGTGGAGAAAAGGTATGGTGTTATTTTTACGTGTTTCAACACACGAGCAATCCATATCGAATTGGCTAGTTCCCTGACAACGGATTCCGCATTGATGGCCATTCACAGATTTATATCTAGACGTGGACAGCCATTGGAGATTTGTTCTGATAATGGAACAAATTTTGTTGGGGCAGAGAACGAGATGAAACGATGTCTGGAGGAGATGGATCGCGCAAAAATCACCCAAGATTTGACCAGATATAAAATTAAGTGGAAATTTAATACTCCAGCAGCACCCTTTCAAGGAGGTATATGGGAAAGGATGATCCAGAGCGTGAAGAAAGTACTGTATATAATTCTCAAAGAACAGCATCCATCAGAAGAGCTACTTACAACACTGTTGGCCGAAACTGAAAGCATTGTCAACTCTAGACCGATAAGCTTCGTTTCGAGTGAATGTAGTGAACTGGAAGCTCTCACTCCGATGCACTTTCTAATTGGGACAGCCAATACATCGAATGTTTCTGGAGTATTTGGACCTGGTGATATGTACGGCCGCAAGCAATGGAAGATTGCCCAATTGATGGCGGAGCGTTATTGGAAGAGATGGTGTAAGGAGTATGTTCCAGCACTCAGAAAAAGAACGAAGTGGTACGAGAAAAATAAACCGCTACAAGTAGATGATGTAGTAGCTCTTCCTGACAGTAAGTTCCGAAAGAAATGGACTTTGGGAAGAATCACCAAAGAAATAGCTGGTCATGACAATCAAATCCGTTCCGTAGAAATCAAGACTCAAGAGGGCACTTTGGTTAGACCAGTAAATAGTCTTCTTAAGCTGGAGGTTGGAGAATGTTAAATATTGAAATGATTTACCATCCTGTATTTTTCTGTTATTGGAACTGAGAGTGATGGATGTCATTAGAATTTTTTGAATTATTGTCAGATTGATGTCAGTAATCTGAATAAAAGTTTTTGATCGTTTATCGATATAATTATTAGTTACAATCTTCTAAGATATTATATTGTGGATTGTAACACCAACTTCCGATTGAAAAAATATATTCAGAAGCGTACTTTTGACACCCAATATCTCAAAAACGAAGCGTTCAAAAGTATATGTTCATACAAAGTTTTTTCATTATTTCAACAAGTACTATACGCTGTTGAATTTTCCGTATTTAAAAACGGACCACCCTGTATATAGCTACGTTTTTGCACTCATATGGAACTAAAGCTATAAATGAGCAAAAAAAAGTATGTTGTAACAAGTTTTTGGATGAAAATAATATTCCTGTTAAGTTTTGATAGCACTCACCATTTTAGAGATAAATTGATTTCAAAAGTCTGCTGCGTACAGAAATAGTGCTTTTTGCTTATAATAGGGTACAAAATTTTCCCAAAAATTCTGTTTTGATGGAAAAACCCTTTTTTCAACATTTACTTTTGATGTTTGATTCAGAATATTGGAGGAACAATGAGAAGAATTGATTGAAAAATATTTCAAGAAAAAGAAAAAGTATATGACTATTTTCAAAACGCATCAGACTTTTGAAATCGATTTATCTCGCAAATATAGAGTGCTATCAAAACTCAAAAGGAGTATCATTTCAACGCGAAAATAACGATTTTCTTGCATTTCCTGGTCAAACTGCCTAAAGTTGCATAGCAAAAAAAGTTGAGGAAGAAATGTCCCTAGCCCCCACCTATTTTCCACGCCCCTGCTGGCCCTCTTTTTCAGATGGTTTTCATTCCCCAGGGGGCCATTTCTCGGCTCATATCTTTTTTCGCTATTTTTGTTCCCATATGGAATCTGTGTGATGAAATATCCTTATTCAATTCCAGGACACCCTATATATACGTTATTTAGGTTATCTTTGTCAGTTTTCCAAAAAATATTGATCCTAAAAGGCAGGTACAACGCCAGAAATCGCAGCATTGTCGTCTGGCTTTGAACACATGCCTTATTTTAGATCAATATCATAAAATCTATATTTTTCATAAACTGACAAAATACAGTGTGTCCACCTTAAGGACTCACCACCCCTGTGAAATCGTTATCATCCAACCAATTTCAAAAAACCTTTTTTTTGTTGGATAGGTATTTGAAATGCTCATCCAACGAGAGAGTGATCTAATTCTTGTACTGTTATCGTGGCCAACTGCGACAAATTTCAATGACCCATATTCCAGAAAGTACTATTAGGGTTTTTTTCCACGAAACTTGATGATGGATTCTGAATCAGTACCACTTGGAATATACCTGTACCGATTTTTATCATCATAAAACACAGGGTGTCCGAAAAAACGAATCATCATTTTCTTCAAATAGGTGATCAGCATTATCAGCAAATGTATTTCTGTGGTTTTTCTAAAAAGAAATAATCACAAAGTATCATTGAGGATTATTTCAAATATACCTGTACCAATTTTCGTCATTTGAATATACAATGTGTCTGAGAAAAAAATTAAAAAGGATAGATAAGCAATATTTTTCATCCTGATAATTTTTCACTCAAAATAAAAAGATGAAGCAGGATCACTTGGAACATACCTGTACCGATTTTCATCATCATTAAACACAGGGTGTTAGAAAAATCAAATTAATATTTTTTTTGAGTTGATGAAAAAATATTGCCTACTTTTTCTTTTTAATTGTTTTCTCATACACATCGTATTTTTGAATGATGAAAATTGGTACAGATATGTTCAAAGTGATCTGCAATAATAATGTGTCATCAATTCTCCTCAAAAATACCACAATACTACATTTTCTGATCACCTATCAAAAAAAAAACATGATTATGATTCGTTTTTTCGGACACCCTGTGTTTTATGATGATAAAAATCAGTGAAGGTGTTTTTCAAGTGATCGTGATTCAGAATCCATCATTGTTTTTTGTGAAAAAAAATCCCTAATAATACTTTCTCAAATATGGGTCAATAAAGTTGGTCGCAGTTGGCCACGATTACAGTTCATGAGTATAATCACTCTCTTGTTCGATGGACATTTCAAATACCTATCCAACAAAAAAAAGTTTTTTGAAATTGGTCAGATAATAACAATTTTACAGGGGTGGTAAGTCCTTAAGGTGGACACACTGTATAACCCAAAATGAAGTATGTATACTTGAAATCAGAAGGAAGAGCTCTACCGTTTGGTAAAATGAAATACATGGTGTTCTATTTAAAAAATACTAGTTGATGTGAAATTATTAGATTTACGATGCATCTTCATTATTATTTTGAAGTAATCAAATATAATATATCAGTCTAATTCTGTGATATGATTTGAAAAATTGCGAATTCACCTAGTCGTTATTTAGTAATTTACATAACCGCGAAGTCGTATGGAAGATAAAAGACCATGCCATGTTCAGTATAATATACAGTGTGACCCATTTAAGATGGAAGCACCCTTATAAAACTTACATTTTTCAACAGATTGGAATGATTTTTTTTTTGTTAGGTAGATATTCAAAAAGTCTATTAGGACACCAAATATCATGAATAAATCTCCATTTCCAGGGCCAACTAATCTGATTTTTCAAGGTCAAAAATCTAAAAAAATTACTAGCGATTATTTTAGAAAAAATCTGACTACACCACTATATTTGTGACATTTTCAAATGGGTAACATGTAAATTACGTTGAAATGCGTCAATCAATAAAAAAAGTTATAAAGGAATGAAATTTGAAAAATATGCCGTTTAATCAACCCATCAATTTTTATTACTGAACAGATTTCGATGAAACTGTGATCAGTAATATTTCAAGACATCCTGAATCCAGTGGAGTATACAGAATTTTCATAAAATTCCTGAACATGAATTGGTGGGTTGATTAAACGGCATATTTTTCAAATTTCATTCCTTTATAACTTTTTTATTGATTGACGAATTTCAACGTAATTTACATGTTACCCATTTGAAAATGTCACAAATCCAGTGGTGTAGTCAGATTTTTTCTGAAAAAATCGCTAGTAATTTTTTTAGATTTTTGACCTTGAAAATTCAGATTAGTTGGCCCTGGAAATGGAGATTTACTCATGATATTTGGTGTCCTAATAGACTTTTTGAATATCTACCTAACAAAAAAAAAATCATTCCAATCGGTTGAAAAATGTAAGTTTTATAAGGGTGCTTCCATCTTTAATGGGTCACACTGTATATGTGATATATATCTGGGAAAAAAGTATTCGATTTTTTCCCGTGAGAGAAAAACAATTTATGGAAAGTGACAATTATTCATAACCTTTTGACAGAAATGAAATTTCAAACTTTTTTCCGTCACAGAAAAAAGTTATTATTACCTGTCCTGATCAGAGTCGCTGGTGTAGCTTGTGAGGACTCGAAGAAAGCATGGAAAAATATCACAGTTGGCTCGGAAAAATTGAAATAAGACCGTGAGAGTGCTTCATCGTCATTTATTCGTAGTTGAGAAGGCTGTAACGGGTTGTATCTGAAATTGAAAACACAAATATTAAAGATATTTAGTATGTAACCGACCCCTTTGGACCCAATTTTGACCCATTTCAAACGAACCGAATGATTTTAGATTTGGCAGGTGTACAAAGTTCAGGTGGAAATGCATCATGAAATTTTTGTTAGACAAAAAAACAAAATGGCGGACGAGTTTTGTAATTATGATCCGATTCAATTCGAAGTTGGTATCTGATGGGGGTTTTCGGAGAAGGAGATTATGATTTTCTTGTCAAAATTTGTACATTCAAGATGGCAGTTTCAATATGGCTGACAAGTTTTGTTATTATGATCCGCATTTTTTCAAAATTTGTATGTACGGTTTCTTGGGATCAGAGATTATGATTGTTCCAAGATTTTTTGAATTCAAAATAGCAGATCCAATATGGCGGAAGAGTTTTATGATTATGATCCGATTCTATTCGAAGTTGGTATCTGGGGGTTTTGGAGATCAAAAATAATGATTTTTCCGTCGAAATTGGTTAATTCAAGAGGACGGATCCAATATGGCGGTGAGTTTTGTAATTATGATCCGGATCTATCTGGTGGTTTTCGGGATCGGAGATTATGATTCTTTCTTCAGAATTAGGAAATTCAAGATGGCGGATTTAATATGGCGTACGAGTTTTGTATTCTTGATCTGATTCTTCTGAAAATTTGTATTAGGAGGTTTTCGGGTTAGAGATTATGATTCGTCAAAATTGGAAAATTCAAGCTGGCGGATCCCATATGGTGGACGAGTTTTGTAATAATTATATGATCCAATTCCATTCAAAGTTGTTCTCTAGGGGTTGATGAGGTCGGAGATTATGATTCTTTCGTCAAAATTGGTTACTCACAAAGGATATAAGAACACTAAAGAACACGCTTTTGTAGTTACCCGAACTCAAAGAGAATAAATATTAGTTTAGAAAACCGAAGAGATACCCTTCAAATACCTAGATATAGCCAAACTGAAGAGGAGTTGGAAATAAAATAACAACAGTGTGTTTTTGAATACACAACATAGAATGTATTGATGACGGAGATGCTAATATTTACTTTGTTGTGTATTCATCAACACACTCTCATAATTTTATTTTCTACTCCTTTTTAGTTTGGCTATCTATAAAAAGGTATCTCATTAGGTTCTCGAACCAAAATTTAATTATCATCTCATTTAACTGAAGTCGTGAAATCATATTTCATTCAGCCTCGTATTCCTAGTAATAGTACGTTCTGAGCATAATTCATTGATACTGAATAGTACTCCGAGTTTCATGTGGAAAAATATATTTTACCTACTTTAGTAACATGAATTTGTAAAAAACTGAGAAATTGAGCTACTTTCGACTTTTTTATTATTTTGTGTAAGTAAAGCAAGTTAATTGTATTTTCTTCAACCTAACAATGTCATCATAGATATATAATTATATTGATACTACATAAAGTCGAGTTCCTTGTAACGAAATATATTCCCACCAACTTTAGTGCAATAAAATTAACCAAGAATAATAGTTTGACCTACCAAGCACCAGTTGCCATAATAAAATTTTGCGTAACCAAAGTCGGTATTCTGTATTTTATATAGCGTATTCTTATCCTAGAATTCTTTTGAGTTTTTGTCTGAATTTTCCTACCTTATACCACTCTAGCTTCAATTGAAAACCTTGAATATTTTCTCGAACACAAATATTCAGAAAATTCTCCCTCGTCTTCCTTGAACAAATTTTCGGTAATAATGGAAGCTCTCGTGGTTATTATAAGTGAACATTTTGTCAACGTCAATTTTTCATTCGATTTTTGGAATCTTTTCTTTATAGGTGGTTGTTTCTGCCATACATTGTGTTATATTTGAAAATACGCAGTTTGATTCTGCAAAGCTTTTAATCGAAGAAAATTGAAATATGAATGACAATTAATTCTTATTGACAGTATCAATTCTTTATTATTAAACAAAACAACGGATTCTTGGTTGCTTGGTGAAAATGAATAAAATCACGTAGCTTCCATGTCTGACATCTGCCACACCTTCAAACAGCTACACAGGATGATCTCTTGAATCCTGACATGCCGCCCTCCTTGAAAGCACCAGCTTTCAACACCAAAACTAATTGCCATCGAAAGGCAGTATGCACAGCTTTGTCAAAGGTCTCTTGAAATTTCCTGACGAGGTTCTGACGGTGGCCACTCTACTGACGCCGTCTGCTCCTGGATGCAGCTTCACTATTCTGCCAATCTTCCAATTCATAGGTGGTTGATTATTTTCACGCAACAAAACCATGGTATCAATTTTCATTAGTTCTGGCTTACGCATCATCCATTTGTTACGCTGTTGCAGATTATGTAGATATTCTATAGACCATCTTCGCCAGAATTGCTGGGTGAGCTGCACCAGTTGCTTATATCGTGAAAGTCGGTTGATTGGAATTTCGGAGACATCTTCTTCAGGTAGTGAGGTTATTTTTGAACCAATTAAGAAGTGTCCCGGGGTTAAAGGATCCAGATCATTAGGATCATTGGATAATGGGGAAAGGGGTCGTGAGTTTAGGATGGATTCAATTTGAGTTAGAAGCGTATATAGCGATTCATATGTAAAATGAATATTGTGCATGATTTTGTTCAGATGATTTTTTGTTAATTTTATCGCCGATTCCCATAATCCACCAAAATTGGGTGCTCTGGCAGGTATAAAATGCCAGGTTATCTGATTTTCCATTAAATAATTCAATAAATTCCTGTCATGATATAGTTTCAACAAAATATTTTGCAATTCATTGATGTAATTAGAACCACCTACAAAATTTGTACCATTATCAGTATAAATATCTTTGGAGATGCCTCTACGAGCAAAAAATCTTTTTAATGCATTTAGAAAACTATCTGTTGTTAAATCACCGGCTAATTCCAAATGAATAGCCTTTGTTGAAAAACATATAAAAAGACAAATGTATGTTTTCACGAATTTCTTGCAACGTAAAGTTCCATCCTTTACTAAAATAGGTCCTGCAAAATCTATACCGCATGTATAAAACGGCCTTGAAGGTTGAACTCTCCGAGTAGGCAATTCACCCATTATTGGAGTAACACTTGATGGCTTGTATTTGAAACAAATCAAGCATTTTCTTAAAACTCGTTTTATTGTTGTTTTAGCATTGATGGGCCAGAAATTTGTCCTAACTGATGAGAGAACGGTTTGAATACCTCCATGAAGAGTACGTTCGTGTTCATATGAAATAATTAGATCAGTTAAGATATGATTGTGAGGAAGTAATATAGGAAATTTATGATTATATGACAAATTTGAATTTCTCAATCTACCACCGACTCGTAAAATACCATGTTTATCCAGAAATGGATTCAAACATAAAATTTTACTTGATTTATTGATTGAACAATTACTCATTAAATCATTGATATCTTGAGTAAAATTTATTGACTGTACCATTTTTATTAAAGTTCTAATGGATAACTCAATTTCTGGGATAGTAAGGTATCCTATGACTCGATTTTCTTTCGACACTCTAGTATTATTCAAGAATCGTAAACAATAAGCTACGACATGAGTCAGACGTTTATAGTTTGAAAATTTGTGAAATATCTCAGAATCGATTGGTATAACAATTAATGATATTGAAGGTGTTGACCTGGTTTCAGGTATTACTTCAAGATATGTATCTATCTGTTTGGGCCAATTTTCTATCTCATGGCATAGCCACTCTGGGCCTGACCACCAGAGTTTAAATTGGGATAATTTGAGAGGACATGCACCTCGTGATATTATATCAGCGGGATTAAATTTTGTATCAACATGCCGCCATTGAGCGTTCTTAGTCAGTCTCTGAATCTCGGACACCCTGTTTGAAACAAATGTTTTAAATTCTGCGGGATCCTTAGCTAACCAATTGATGACAATCTTTGAATCAGTCCAAAGAAAAATTGCATTCATTGGAATGTTGATAGTTGATTGAATCTTATCAAAAAGCTTAGATAAAGTTAAGGCTCCACATAATTCTAACTTTGGTAAAGATATTGATTTTGTTGGTGCAACTCGTGATTTTGCACATAATAAGCTTGTAAGAATTTGACCATTTGAATCTGAAGTTCTTAGATAAATGCAGGCACCATAAGTCAATTCTGATGAATCGCAAAATCCATGTAATTGAATTGTGATGTAAAATGATAAAACTACATGTCGAGGAATTGTGATATAACTGAGATCTTTCAGAGAGTCGTAAAATTGTAAAAATTCGTTATGACAATCGCGTGGGATTGGGGAGTCCCAATCTAGGCCCAATTTCCATAATGTTTGAATGAGTACTTTTGCCCTTACCACTATAGGACCAATAAGGCCCAAGGGGTCAAAAATCTGAGAAATGATTGACAAGATCATTCTTTTAGATGGATTGAACAGTTTTAAATCTTTATTAAATGAATATTTGAATACATCAGATGTAGGTTGCCACAAAATACCCAATGTTTTTATTGTTTTATCATCTGATAAATAATAGTTTTCAATTTGACTCTGCTCTGATTCATTGAGAACAGATATATCGTTTGACATCCACTGAGTGAGATTGAAACCACCTGATTTTAAAATAGAATTGATCTCTGATTTTATTTGTTTGAGATCTGAACTTGTTTGACTACCAGTGATGAGATCATCCACGTAAAAATCACGCAAGATTATACTACTGGCAATTGGATATTCATGTTGATTTTCTATTGCTACTTGCTGAAGTGCTCTCGTAGCCAAAAAAGAAGCAGGTGCCGTACCGTAGGTTACAGTATTCAGTACAAAATGTTGTAATTCATGATCAGGTTTTTCCCGCCATAGAATTCTTTGTAGGTTGCGCTGCTCAGGACTTATATTCACCATTCTGTACATTTTTGTAATATCAGCCTTTAAAACAACATTATGGAATCTAAATCTGATCATTATTGAAAATAAATCGTCTTGCACGTTTGGCCCAACGTAACAAACATCATTTAAAGATAAGT